AGCTAATAACTATGGACCCGAAGGTTTGTGGTAAACTACTCACGCTTCATCAGAGAGGTTATGGTGTTGATGTAGAAGCCCTCCATGATCGATTCCCGCTTCGGCAGGATGCCGGAAAAGGCCCCAAGATGGGATCTCACGGATACAGAAGGTTACGGTGGTGGAAAAGTGGTCTTGTGGCTCCCCCTGATGTTTTTAGGGTATAAGAGTATATAGAGGCAAAAGAACTAGGTCAGTGGAGATTCGAGGGGCCCACGAGGGTGGGGGCGCGCCTACCCCCCCCCCCCCTTGGCGCGCCCTCCTGCCTCGTGGCCTCCTTGTTACGTCTCCAACTTCATCTCCAAGTCTTCTGGTTTGCTTTTGGTCCAAGAAAGATCATCACGAAGGTAGCAGCCCGACGCGTAGCTAGTCCCAGATTGTTTTTTAGTTTATTTTCGTTTCGGTTTTAAAAATAGAAATAGTTTCAATTTTAGATTTCTTATAACTTCTATGTTTTAGATCCAAATTGAGTGATTCTTTCTGCATTGTGTCAAAAATTTGATGAAATTTCTGTTTGTGTACTTAGTTTTCAAATTTGAGTAGTTTAAATTTGTATTATTTTGAATATGCTTCAAACACTATTTTGGCTCTAGTTTGAGTTTTATAAAGTATTTTTGATTGATTCTTTTTTCCACGATTTTGTTATTGTTTTGTCTATCCATTAGCATATAGTGATTCATTTTTAGTTTACCTTAAATTAGAGTTTTAGGCAAAATAGTACTATTTTAGTTCTAATTTTGTTTTAGTCTTTTCTTTATTGTTTTATTAGTTTTAAATTATTTGTTTTTGTCACTCTTGAAAAATTTAGTTTTTGTTTCTGTTAGTCAACAAAAGAATATTTTATTTTTTATTTAAAAAAACTTATTTTATTTAGTTTTGTATGAAAACTTGTATAGGTCATAGTTAGTGTTTCATAAAAGCTTTTTATTTGTTTATTTTTGCAAATAAAATTTTATGAAAAATACTTTCTGTTAACTTAGTTGCTTTACTTTTTGTTTCCTGTTAACTTATTAGTTTAGTGTTTTAATTGCTGTTAAGTTTTTACTTAGGGCAAAACTATGTTAGATGTTTGTAGCAAAGTCATAGATTTTCGTTAGTAGTTTTTCTTTCTAGTTTTATTTGAAGCTTCTTTGGAATTTGTTGGAGTTTTATTATTGAGTTTTTATTTGTTTTGTTTTAATGGTTATTTTGAGTGTTTGTATTGCTTGCTAGAATGATTGCTTATGTGAATGCTATGTTTGACTTGTATAGATTTTCTTCGGAGAGTGACGAATAGTTCTATCAAGTTTTGTGAGAGCATTGTAATCTTCATCAACTTACCAGGCAAGTTCACTTTGACCATGTTTTTCATACCTATGTTTTATTTGCATGTAGTAGCACCTTTTCAATAATCCCTCTAGTTGTGATATTGATTTCTTGTAGTTGATTAGAATGCATGAGGTAGGAACCCATCTCCCAGTTACCAAGCCCGGGACGTTATTTAGTTTTAATGCTACACCAATGTAGATAGGGTTTGGTATGAGTTCTCGGGAGTGGTGTGAGAATTAAGGACTCGACATCAATGACGACAACTTCATGATGGCATCTGCAAGGACTGCATCTTCAAGACCTCAAGACTCGAGACAAGAATTCAATACGCACTACTGGGTGGAGGACGATTGACGGGCACCTGGAGAAACCAGTGGATGGCCGGGGTGCATGGAGAAGCGCCATGACATCTTGCGGAAAGCTTCACCCAGACTCAAAGAGACGGAAGAATACTTCATGCCCGGAAACTTACCTGTGCAACCGCAAGTCACTATGGGCTCTGGCTTGGTTGACCTTAGTTGTGACTCTGGCTGGGACGGTGCTAGTAGATGTAGAACTACGGTAGGATTGGATGAGCACCGAACAGTGGTCACGGGAACTCTTCGGAAGACCATGTTTCAGTCGCCTAGTTCTCAAACACCCTGAAGTGCGAGAACGTAAAAAGAGGGATCAAATCTTGCGGGTAAAGTGTACAAACCTCTGCAGAGGGTTAAAACCTAACCGATTAGTCGTGTCCCCGGTTATGAACAGTTTGAGCCTCTGGAGTTGGATCTATCCGGAATTCTCAACACTGGACTGATAACTTAATTGTGGGCAACTTATGATGATTTGGGTTATGAGACATCGGTTGGCAGAACCATGTCATAGTAGAGAAATCCATAGTGAAGACTCCTGATATTCCTTTGATGTAGGGAAAATAAAACCAGCTTTTACGCAAAAATCTCAGACACAGAGCCACAAAGCCATATTGCGTATAGAATAGTTTATTATCTGTTTTCTCTTAGTGTGATCTTGCCGGTACATTCGATGTACTGATCTACACAACTGCAACGTATCATGTTGCAGGATTTATTCAACGAGTAAGAGTTACGATACAGGGTAACGATCTACACTCTACTTGCCGATGGTGTTGATGGGACTCCACACCCGATTTATTGTTTCTCTGAAACTAATGAGGGATATATCAGTTTTACGTTATTTATACATATGATTGCACTTTGATATATACATTGATGTACTGTGTGTGCCAGCATACTGATCCAGAGATGGCACATATACACAGAGGCTTGACCGTTTGAGGTCGGGTCGCTACATGCTCTAATATGGTCCGGAACAAGACAACTCTTGATCCCTACAAAACTCATCTTAATACTCATGATATCTAGAAACAACTTAGGAGTAAAAAGACAACTTAATTTATATGGCTTGCACATGTGTTTGTCAAAACTTGCATTGGTTGAGTGTATTTTGACATTACAAGGCATCTTTTTTCAGAACTCAAATGTTGTAAGGTCACCGAAAAAATGATCAAGAGCTCCAATACCAAAGTAGGGGCATCCAAAGTTGTACCTCAAACCTTCCGAAAACATTTGGATCATATGGTCCTGACACATGTTGCCATCCAATGCAGTCCCCTAAATGTCCGTGGGCCACTTCGCATGTTCGTTTCCCCCCAAAGCAGAAGCAAACTCGGAGGGGGGAGCGGGCGGGGCTTTGCGGGAGTACAGACACCATGCGAAGGTCCACTTGGCCCAATGTCAGTTGGACCACATGCACTCATGTTCCATGTGATTTGTCCTGTAGGTCCGCCTTGTCCACCTCTGGTGCCTAGATTTGATGCCTATTTAAGCGACATGGTTAGGTGAACAGTTCCTGTATCCTGTCCGTGGACATGTCCGGACATGGTCCGCGGACGAATAGTGTGTCTGTTTTAGGGGATAGCGTTGGGATGCCCTAATATCAATTTTTGCGGGTAAATATGGTTTCGTGTCATATATCTCTATTCGGTGTTATAGTTGTTGTGGATTTTCCCTACAAAAACGATTAAAGTATGCATCGTTTGACTTCAGAGAAAACCAATAGGCTTTCTTTTCGGAGTAAAATGCATTGGTAGTCATTGAACTTGTCGCATACGCTCATTTTGATCACTGTATTTAAAAATACAATCAATACAGTCACTATATACGTGTCGAGGTGATTATATAGTCACTGCCAGATCGTATAGCCCCCTATTTCATCTATTTGACTGGTCAAATAATCCACATGGCACCTCGTCAGCTCGTTTCTCTCTCTACCTATGCGGGTCTCACTTGTCAGTGGGTGGCAACAAGCAAAAAGCAGAAGGAAAATAGAATTCTGTACCGATTCATATTCGAACGACAAACATTGCACTTATGTGGCAGTACTCAAACCAGCTGCACCTCTCTCGCCTTGGGTTTGATCGAAGGAAGTAAACCTTTTTTTATCGTCCAGGCATTCATATGACAGCCATTAGGATTTTTCGTTTTACGTGGGAGCCATTAGACTCTACGGCCGGTCGAGGTGGCCGCTGGCACCGTTACATACACGGCCGATTGATGCTCGCCGGGCGCAAGGCGATGATACGTGTGGGCGGTGCCGGCGGTGGTGCCGGCTGTCTTGGAGGTGTACGTGCAGCGGACAAGGACGCCATGCACGGGGACACGGGCGTGCATGCAACAGCCGGTCAAGTCGGCCAGGTACGGCGAACGATGACGCGCAGGTAAACGCAACAGCCGGCCAAGCTGCGACTGACGATGTTGGATGCGCACACGGACGCGGAGGTGGATGCGCACGCACACGTCGTGGACGCGGAACTAAACGCAGAAGCCGGTCATGTTACGGTGAATGACAACATGGAGATGCACGCAGAGGCAGAGGTGGACGCGCACGCGGCGGATGAAGACACAGAGGTGTACGCAAAGGACGACGACATGAACATCGACCCCACATAGTGAGGCCCGACAAAGACCTGAGTAAGTGTGGTTTGCTACATGATGATCATAGACTTTGCATGGTTAAAGATGATCTTTAGATTTTATCCGTACATTTTTTTTTCAAAGTTTGCGTTATTACTCTTATTTTGCATGTACAGATCGGGCTAACAAGAGAAAGAGAGGTTGGTACAATGTTGACGGCTAGCGCTGTATATACACGATGATGATATGTTTAGAAAAGGTCGCATGGGTGTCACGTGAATGCCTAAACAATGTAAAAAGGTTTGCTGTTCGACTCTCCATGGGTACATATTTTTATTTTCCACTTTTTTTCGTCCACACACATGAGTCCCCGCATAGATAGAGAGAGAAAACAAGCTGGGGAGGTGCCATGTGGATTGTTTGACCAGTCAAATAGATGGAATATGGAACTATACAATCTAACAATGACTGTATAATCACCTCAACATAATCACCTCAACACGTATATAGTGATCGTAATAACTGTATTCTGAAGTACAGTGACCAAAATAAGCGTACGCTACAAGTTCAATGATCATCAGTGCATTTTACTCTTCTTTTCGAGTACACACCATTTTTCTGAAACTTTTGGCAGACGAACACTAGCCGAAAGAACGCATTCGTGTAGCCCAATGCCTGACAAACCGGCCCCACTTCCAGCGATGGGCTACATGCCTCATGCCTGAACATCTTCCACCTCCGCACCCAACTAAGGCCAAGGCGACCGAGCAGTCCACCTCCGCCGCCGTCGCCGGCGAATTTGACCCCGCCGTGCCATGGTACGCGCGGGTGTGCACCCTGACGCGCCTCCGACGGCACCGGGAGGCCCTTGCGGTCCTACGCCATGCCGACCCTTCGCCGCCGCCGCACGCCATGGCGCTGCCATCCGCGGTCATCTGCTGCGCGGCGCTCTCCCTCCCCTCCGGCGTCGCGCAGATACACGCGCTCGCTGCCAAGCGCGGCCTCCTCCCAGCCTCCGATGCGTACCTCCTCACCGCGCTGCTCTCTTCCTACTCACGCCTCGGCCTCCTCCGCTGCGCGCGGCAGCTGCTCGACGAAATGCCCCCTGCGTCCACGCCTCCCGCCACTGTCCTCGCCGCATTCAACTCTGTCATCTCCGGATGCGCGCTCCACGCACTCACCCCCGCCTGCTTCGCCATCTTCCACCGTATGCGCGTGCACATGGCCGGCGTCCGCTTCAACGCAGTCACGCTCCTGGCGTTACTCCCGACTGCTCCTACCACCGTCGTGCCGCAGCTTCATGCCCTCGCGGCTCGATCAGGACTCGCCTCCGGGACTACCGTGGCCAACTGCCTCATATCTGTGTACGGCCGCCGCAACGCCGCTCTTGCTTGGCAGGTTTTTGACGAGATGCCGCTGGCCTCCCGTGATCTCGTCTCGTGGACCGCCGTGCTCTCGGCCCACGCACAGAATGGTCTTGCTGTGGACGCCCTCGATCTCTACCGCCGCATGCGTGGCCACGGTGTGGAACCAGATGCTCTGACGCTGGTGGGCGTGCTCTCCTCCTGCGCACACCTTGCCGCCCGTAGTGTTGGCCTGGGCGTGGATCACTACGTGCGGGAGAGACTACCGGGGTTTCGTGCCAATGTGCAGCTCTGCAGTGCGCTTATCAACTTCCATGCACGCTGCGGCAGCTTGCCCCAGGCGCAGCAGCTGTTCGACGAAATGCCCAAGAAGAGCATCATGTCGTGGACGGCGCTGATCACCGGGTATGGCATGCATGGACATGGTGACATGGCCATTAATCTCTTCCAAAGGATGGTGTCGGAAGGCATACGGCCAGATAATGTCGCAATGGTCGCTCTCTTGTCGGTGTGCAGCCACGCCGGGAAGTATGAAGAGGGGTGCAAGTACTTCTTTGCAATGGAGAGCACCTACAGGCTGCGGCCTACACTGGAGCACTACGCCTGCATGGTGGACCTCCTTGGACGGGCGGGCCGTCTCGAGGAGGCACGAGAGCTCATCTCATCGATGCCCATGCCAGCCGACGGTTCTGTGTGGGGTGCCCTTCTTGGGGCGTGCAAGATACATAAAAATGTGGAGACAGGGGAGGAGGCTTTCAAGCATGTTATTATGCTCGAACCGAGCAATGTGGGCTACTACGTGCTCATGGCTAACATGTACACTGACAGTGGACAACAGGATGGTGTCGCAAGGGTGCGGGCGATGATGAGGGAGCGTGGGCTGAAGAAGGAGCCCGGTGTAGCTACCTCGAACACAAGGGGAGAGTTCACCTGTTAATGGACGACGACCACTCGCATCCACGGGCGAAGAGAATTTACGAGCTTGTGATTGAACTTGAGCAGATAGTCAAGGAGAAGATGAATGGCACAGCAGGAATGGGGGAAAACAGAGTGCTTGACAAGAAGGTAGCTGTACCGTTGGTCGGCACTCACAGTGAGAAGCTCGTCGTACCATTCTCTATGCTGAACACAGTGGATGTTGAGATTGTGGTGATGAAGAGCCTGAGGGTGTGTGTGGGGACGGCCACTCGTTTCTGAAGATGGTCTCTGCAATTGCCAATCGGGTGTTTCTCTTCAGGTATTCGAGCTGCTTTCCTCGCTTTGAGGGTGGAGCATGCTCCTGCCAAGAATACTGGTGAATAATTGGATCGAGTCCGCATTGTGAAGGAAGGCATTAGCTCATTAGCTGGTTGCACCAGAAACCAAAAGGCATTAGTTACAGCTAGTAAGGTAGCTTTTGCTCCAAATCATCTGTACGACATGAAACACACTTGGTTGCTGAAAATTACAACACTAATAATATCATGTAGTACTACTTAGCTGCTAGTATGGGAGCATTAGAGGCTGGACAAATAACAGCAGAGACAGCCAGTACCATCATACTGTGATGCTCAACTATGTCAAGATTGGGTACTATGTGTTGAGCAGAACCCGAGGTTCAGATCTGCCGACCCTTGTCCTAATGCTGGCTAGCGAGTCTGACCAAACTGCAAGTTTCCCTACAGGCTGGTCTTGTAATCCTGAGTGGATGCTGAATGTTCCATGCATGTGGTTCAATGGTTGATAACTAATTGTCGAGGATCCCCATTCCAGAGGCGTGACAAGTGCAGATTTTTAGCCAAAGGTGGTTCAGACTTCAGAGTACAGCAGAACCACTCGTGTTCTGCAATACGTTGGTATCGTTCAGTTCCGCGGTGTAGCTTAACGGGTTTTTGATGAAAAAGAAGATAAACTGCAATTGCATACAGATGTTATAGAAGTGGCAGAAAGTTTCATTGAAATGTTGAACTAAATGTGGGCTGATACTAGTTGATAGTGAATATATGTCGTGCTGCAAACAAGAAGATAAAGATAAAAGGCAGTCTTTGTCATTGCAAGTGCAACCGTTATGTAAGAACATTTTCTGCCATGTTAATGTACTGATGATTGCCAGGATCAGAAAGACTAGAAATGCAGCTTCACGAGCTACATCCCGTTTGGTCTTTGTTTTGATAAGGAGCAAAATTTATATATACACTATCCCGCTGTTGGTGGTTGAGCTCAATTTGAATTGGGCTTGGGTGCAAAAGGACAGGTCAGTGAGTAGGGAGTGTTGCAGCTGCTCACCTGTTAGGTTACATGCAGATCCACTCCGTTGATGTATATCACCATTGACAGTGTGATGTCCGTTTCTGTCAAACCTATTTTTTTTCTCTCTAGAACTTGTCAACCTGCGTTATTGCTTGCCATCGGAGCAGGGACATGCACGCGCCAGAACCGGCCCTAGGAGCATCTTCAACTGGACCCAATGATGACGTCCAAGGACTCGGATGCGAACACGTGTCCGAGTCCTTGGATGTCAGGCAGGGGCGAATGCACGTACAAGCTTGTGGGGGCGAATGCCCCCACTCCTTTTTTCAGCTTACGTGTACCAGGCCAGAATATACAGAGCTGCCCCCACTCAGCCCAAGCTATTTGCCCCCACTTCCTTTTTTTCCCCCTGCTGTATGTTGAAAGCCCGTCTATGAAAATTACACAGGGTTATAAGCCCAGGAGCCCATCCTCGATTTGCTAGAAACGTACGAGGTCTTTCGGAGTTTCAGATGTGTTCGTCGCCTGTGCTCGCGTGACGCCTTTACAAGCCGTAACCGCCGCGCCACCGCCTGTGGCTCTAGGCTGCACATACACCTCGCCCCTTTGGCGATCAGCCTCGATCTGCACTGCGCACGCCAGCCAGCCGGCCCGCCATGCGCCATCCCCAAGGTAGAAGCCGTACTAATCAATCATTCAATCAAGGTAAGCCCAAGGTTTAGCTCTCTTCTTTTCTTTCTAATTTCCCCATTATTATTTTATTCTGATTTCCATGTCAAAAAGGTAGTGAATTGTATCAAATATCCATATGTATAAATTATAATGTACAAATTGGTAATTAGGTTGATTGAATCTAGGTTCCCGTGATAATTCCATATGGATAAGTTTGAACACATGGGAGTAAAATAAAATCTATAGTAATATTCTTCCTTCACGGTCTCAATTTATTTAACCTTAAACTATTCGGCATTGACAGGAAAGCTAATGGAGAGGTGTTTATCTGTCAATGTTTATATGCTCTCTATATTCAAACATATTTCTTCTTCATGCGGCTTGAAGGCTAGAAATGAGGGGCATACCAACAAAAAGGAAAGACATATTCAAGTTATTGTGCCTCAAGTGGTTAGTTTACTCTTACTTTGGCAATGAACTTATCATAATTAATTAATTATGTGTGTGATAACATTATCTTATAAGAAAGTATGTGATTTTGCTTCTTACACATTAAATGCATGGTTGTGTGGTTTTTTTTAATTATTTAGCCATTAGTTCGATATATATTTCGGAAAAAATTACATATACATCTTTGCCCCCTCCTGGTTTTCATCCTGGCTCCGCCCCTGATGTCAGGGAACTAGCGGTTGAAGGCAGCGTAGGAGTCGGAACTAGCAGTTGAAGGCAGCGTAGGAGTTGGACCGTGCTGCACCGCGAAGAACAGGGCGTGGGGGAAGCCCATGCCCACATCCTCGTGAAGCAACAAACTTGGGCCGTCCGTGCCCTCGCCGGCATGCCTCCAGAATCGGACGAGATGTTTGTTGTCTTTGTTGTAGTATATGACGCCGTTGTTGAACTTTTGTTGTCCTATGTCATCCGATGTTTGAACTATGTCCTATATATGCTATCTACATATATGTTGATCGATGTTCCATAACTTTGTATGGATTTGAGGGTTCGTAAATGAGGAGCATTGTTACCCGAGCGGACAAATGGGGGTTGAGCCGCGGAATTCCCTATCCGCCGCATTTTGCGGCAAAATGCCGACCTGCCGCACACCCCTTGACCGTTCGTGGGCCGGCCCGTGTCGGATGCATCATACAGATGAAAATCGCTACAGAATTCCCTATCCGCCGCATTTTGCGGCAAAATGTCGACCTGCCGCACACCCCTTGACCGTTCGTGGGCCGGCCCATGTCGGATGCATCATATAGATGAAAATTGCTAAAAAAAGTGAAGAGAGGGAGGATTTGGACCTCAAACCTCCCACTTCTAGAGATTTGAGTATAACCACTTGACCATAACAACACTAGTGTTCTATAAGTGCAAAGAGGCCTGCTATTATATGTTTCTTTCTTTCACGTTTTTTCGTTTTTTGTTTTCCTGTTTCTTTCTTTCTTTTATTTTTGTTTTAGAAATATCGCAACTTCAAAAAAGTTCAATATATTTCATACTTTATTCGGCTTTTTATAAAACATGTTCGATTTTTTTGTTCAGGTTTCAAATAACATTCCGTGCTTTTCAAAAAATGTACAAAATTTGTTCATGTTTCAAAATGTGTCCGGTGTTTCAAAATTTGTTCATGATTTTCAGAAAATGTTCGTGTTTTCAAATTTGTTCAGATTTTCAAAAAGTTTTGGAATTTCACATTTGTTCCCTCTTTCAAAATTTGCTCGTGATTTTCAAAAAATGTTCGTGTTTTCAAATTTGTTCAAATTTTCAAAATAGTTTTGGAATTTCACATTTGTTCCCAATTTTCGAAAATTGTTCGTGTTTTTCAAAAAATTATTCGCATTTTCAAAAATTGTTCACGTTTCAAAATTTGGATAGACATTTTAAAAATGTTCAAGAATTTTGAAAAATGTTTGTGGTTATAAACTTGTGTTCATACTTTCACGAAATTTTCCATTTTTAATTTTTTTGTTCACCAGTTCAAAAAATGTTCCCTGTTTGAATTTTTCTTCAGAATATCACGAAATATTCCATTTTTCAATTTTTTGTTCACAAATTCAAAAAATGTTCGTGGTTTCAAATATGTTTGGAATTTCATAATTTGTTCACAAATTCAAAAAATGTTCACGGTTACAAATTTCTTTAGAATTTCATAATTTGTTCACACGGTTTCAAATTTGTTCGGAATTTCATAATTTGTTAACAAATTCAAAAAATTGTTCACGTTATCACAAAAACAATTTCTGACTTTTCAATTTTTTTGTTCACATATTCGAAAAACTTTCTTGTCTCTATTTTTTCATGAATTCAAAAAATGTGCGCACTTTTTTAAAGAGACACATTCGAAGAAACTATACTTTAAAACAAATCAATACAACAAGTAATTTTGGGTTCACTACAGCAATCGTTTCCTGTTCGCTACAGTGCACAAGTCAGGTTTAGTTCTTTAAAACATGCGCTGCACTTTAACGAACTGTGCTAGTCTAGTCTGCTGGCGACGTGTCCGCGGTCGCTCGCACTTGGTCGCAAGTTCGAATCCTCGTTGCGCCTGACTTCTCTTTTTGCCATTTTTTGTCCCGCGGTGAAGCTTCATGGGCCGGCCCAGTCGAGCTGCACCTGTGCGTCTGGCCACCAATTTGACGCAAAGAGCGTCCAATAGGAGCTCTCTTGAGCCGCTCCTATCCACCGATGCGTCCTCAGACATACATGGGGTCAAATTAAGTAAGTCTGGTTGGAGATGCTCTAAGCTAGCGTGATAAGGCCCCTGGGCGGGGGCATTATCTATAAGAGTCCAATCTATATATGCAGCAGAATATGTTGTGTCTGACTATATGTCTCAACAATGTAATGAGTTATATATATATATATGTATATATATAATTCCTAGTATGATGTATGAATTACACAATTAATCCATTAATGCTCAATTATTGAGGGTTCGGGCAAGTTGGAGAAAGGCCAAATTTTTGGTATTGCTAAAGTTGTTATAGAGTTTTTTTTTTGCGGAATAAAGCTGTTATAGAGTTAGGCATGACACACTCT